TCCGTGGTTCTGCGAAGCTCCGCCAGATCTTCCTCGGAGGGACCCCCCCTCTGAACCATCTCCTGTAGCAGGTTGGCTTGGTAGGCTTGAAGCACCGTGGTGTGCAAGCTCGCACCTGCCTGGCCTGCTGCCATGTACGCCTTCCCCACAAGCGTGGATGTGGTGCGACATGGTTTGGATGGTAATGCCGGCTTCTCCAGGGAGGACGCAAGTCGAGGGGAGAGATAGCTCGCAAGCTCATCCTCCACCCGAGGCATCCTCCCATAACCACGGTCCCTAACCCCCATCACATTACTGTAGTTCAGTGATCGGGGTGTGGAAAGCCATGTAGAGAAGGGTCTGCCCCATGATTACTCAGTTCATCATGTAAATCAGGAAAGAATGGCAGAGACCGGCGTGGAGGTGGCGTGTGGTGCTTAAGAAACCTTTCATCAAGCTACCACTAGCCTGTGGTGTCTGCTCCTCGTGGCCAGTTGATGTTGAGCTTAGCCACGGCTCTAGTCACCACCTCCAGCAGCACGTCATAGTCGGGCGCGGCCAGATGACGCCGCCCCGACACCCGGAAGTCATCGTCCACTGCGCTGAGCACGTCCGCCTCCTCGGAGTCGGATTGTGCAGCGTCTCCGGATCCAAACCGCGAGCGGGAGAAGCCGAGAACGGGCTCCCGAACGAGGAAAGGAAGCGTCGGAGCCAGCGGATGAAGGTCGGGAAAAAGCCTCAGCCGTCCCGAAATCCTCCGACAGATCACGCTGTGAACCCATGAGTGAAGCCGCGGGCCGCCTCAGCGGCCGCAGGGCCCGCGCACGGGGAAAACACATCCGGCCATCCTCGGAAAAGAGAGCCATGCGGGACCTCAGTACCCGCACGGAAAGGGCTTCGCAACGGGCGCAGGCAGCCCCCTCGAGAGCTGCCCGTGCGTGCTCCATCCCCAAACATGAGACACACATCTCATGAGAATCTCCATCCGTGATGTACCGAGGGCAAGAAAAAACACACCTTCTGTACATCTGGTTGCCGGACATGCTGGTAGACTTCTTCTTCAGGTAAGACATACTGCTTGTAGGACTGGAGCTTTCTTCAAACAACATACAGAGCGCCTGCTGAATAAAAAAAAGCTAATGATGAGTGTGTACAGGTGTGCTTTATACTCCTCCGGTTATTCCGTCACACCTTACCGTCTAGCAACAGGCCAATAGGATTGGAGTGATTTCATTCACGTTCAGACCTGCTTCGCCTAGAGGTTCCCATAGTGTCGTAACCGACGCAGTTCGAGTTCCCTCGAAGGGGAAACTACTGCACAGGACGGATCTTCATGATGATGAAGCAGATCTGAGGTCTGTGAGGCAGTGATGATGGACAGGTGACCAGCTGCACCTTTAAACTGTGAGTTAAAACAACACTCACATGTCCACATGTACATAAGTAAAGTTTTAATAATAATAATAATAATAATAATAATAATAATAATCTTATTTGTAGAGCACTTTTCAAAAACAAGTTACAAAGTGCTTTAACAAGTGTAAAGACAATAATACAAAAACATACAAGATAAGAATGAAAACATTGAAAAGACTAAAATACATTAAGATAAATAAAAATTAGTAAATAGAATAAAATAAAAGGGATAAAATAAGTCAAAAAGATCGGGAAAGGCTCTCCTATAAAAGTATGTTTTAAGAAGGGACTTAAAAGAGTTCACTGACTCAGCCGACCTGATTTCCTCGGGCAGGCTGTTCCAGAGCCTCGGGGCCCTGACAGCAAACGCTCTGTCCCCTTTAGTTTTCAGTCGAGACTCTGGAACAGACAACAGACCTCTGCCCGAGGATCTCAAGGTACGTGCTGGTGCGTATGGGACTAAAAGGTCAGAAATATAACAAGGCGAGAGGCCATGAAGAGCTTTAAAAGTGATCAATAGAATTTAAAGTCAATTCTAAAACATGCTGGGAGCCAGTGTAATGAAGCTAAAATAGGAGTAATGTGGTCATATTTCTTTGTTCTGGTTAAAAGCCTGGCAGCTGAGTTCTGGACAGTCTGGAGTCGATCAATAGATTTTTGGGTTAACAGGTGAAAAGGCTGTTGCAATAATCCAGGCGTGATGAGATGAAGGCGTGTAAAATGGTCTGGTGTCCTTAAAAGTTAACATAGATCGAATTTTTGCTATATTTCTAAGTTGATAAAAACATGATTGAACAAGCTTTGTGGTGTGCTGCTCGAAATTTAAATTACTATCAAACCAAACACCAAGGTTCTTTGCCACAGGCTTAATGTGATTTACTAGGGACCAGCAGATGGCAGTATTTGATTTGCCATCTGCTGGGACCCGATGACCAGGATTTCTGTTTTGTCTGAGTTCAGCTGGAGGAAATTATTTGACATCCTTTTTTAACTTCACAAAGGCAGTTGTTAAGTGAACTCAGCATTCCAGGGTCTGTGGATCTGACGGGCAAGTATTTGTGTGTCATCAGCATAAATATGAAAAGAAATACCATGTTTATGGATAATATGTCCAAGGGGAAGCAGATACAAGGAAAACAAAATGGGTCCTAAGACCGACCCCTGAGGCACACCATATTTAACTGGACAGAACGAAGAGACATAGTTGTTTACAGACACGCAAAACTTCCTATTTGACTAGGTGAAAAAACAGATGAACAGCGTTGTGTGTCTGTCAAATTTGTTGATCAACAAAAGCACGCAAGGTCCAGGATGGTACAGGGACACAGCAGATGCAAATTCAAAGGTACTGAGCAGGGCAGTCTCAGTGCTGTGGTACTTCCTAAAACCAGACTGAAACTTTCAAAATTTGTTATTTTCCAGTACAGTGAGCAGCTGTTTGGACACAATTCTTTCTAGAATCTTTGCAATAAAAGGCAGTTTTGAAATTGGTCTAAAATTATGTGGGAGGGAGGGATCTAAACCAGGTTTCTTTAAAAGTGGGTTCACGCAAGCCGTTTTAAAATAATCAGGGACACAACCAGTAGATAGGGAGCTGTTGAAAACAGAGATCAAATGGGGCCCAACAGAATCTATTACTTTCAGTAAAAACTTTGTAGGTATTACATCAAGTGGGCTGGAGGACACTCTCATTTGTGATACTGTTTTAAAAGCTCAGACAAGTCGATGGGATAAAACTGGTTAAAACTCTTGTTGCTGGTGAGGAACCTCTGAGTAAGAGGCCGCGGGGTAATAGAGGCTCTGATTGACACCACCTTATTGGTAAAATAAGATAAAAACAATTCACAGTCATCATTACTTCCAGCTGAGGCACAAGGAGGGGTTGGGTTTACCAGCTGATCCACAGTCTTAAACAGAAACCTGGGATTGTTTATGTGTAGTAATGAGTTCAGAAAATAGTGTGTTCTCGCATCCTTAACCATGTTATTGTAGTTAATTAATAAATCCTTCAGACTGAGGTAATGGACTTGGAGACTGGATTTTTCCATCTGCGCTCTGCTTTCCTGCATTCCCTTTTAGGCTGCGAATGCTGTCATTTATCCAGGGTTGCTTACTAGCTTTAGACGTAGGCCTAACCTTTAGAGGAGCAGTAATATTTAGTGACGACAAGCAGATATGATTGAAGTGATCGACCAGATTGTTGGTGTTGGAATCAGACAGGTGTTGGCTTTGGCTCTGAAAGAATGCGCAAAACTTTGAAACACTGTTCATTAAAGATGCGAGAACACACGGAGCTTGGTGAGGCGGCATGAGTAACAGGCGAATGCAGCTAAAAACTATACATCTGTGGTCAGATATGGTCATGTCCACTAATTCCACAGAGGAAATACTGACACCCAGGGTAAAAACCAAGTCCAGTGTATGACCACGGTTATGTGTTTGCCCTTTGACATGTTGTTTGAAGTTAAAAGAAGTGGCCATATTTAAAAAGTCAGTTGCATTAACATTGGTGGGGTCATCAACATGAATATTAAAATCGCCACAAAGAACAATTCTGTCATAATTTAAAACCAGAGTAGATAAAAATTCAGGAAGTTCTGATAAAAATCCTCCAGGCGGTTTTGGGGAGCGATAAATCATAACAAATATGATGATAGGTTACAGCCCTCCAAGTTTAAGAGCTTAACTTCAAAGGAGTTAAATTCATCATAGCGTTCTTGATGACATTTTAAATTTCCTATACACGCTCACTAGCCCACCACCACGACCACTGACCCTCTTTTGACTTTTGACTAAAACATCATATTGAGGCGGACACAGTTCAGCTAGCTGGCTATAGTCATTCATCTGCAACCAGGATTCAGTTAAAAACATAAAATCTAGATTTGCAGACAAAATAAAATCATTTAAGATAAAAGTCTTAATTTAAGGTACTTGTACTTCAGTGTTTCCATGTCATGCTTTGTTGCAGTACTTCTCAGAGGGAAATATTGGACTCCAAATGGTTATTTTAAGTATTATTACAGATTGAGCTGTCCAGCAGCATGTAACAACCTTTACCAGCTGGAACATTAAGGTGATGAACACATGAATGAGTTAATAATTATAATCCATTTATATATATTATTCTGAAATGACCCATTCTGCATAATGAGTACTTTTACTGGTGGGAAGTAAGTATATTTTGATGCTAATACAGGATGCAGGTTAACGTAGTATTTCTAGACCGTGCTATTTGAAGGGATTTTGGTTTAATTTAGAAATGTTTATACAGTCAGTGGTTCAGAACAACCAGAGACAGTTTCACCTCACAGTCATTTCATCCAATGTATTAAAAGCATATTTAAAAGATGAAACAAATTTGTTTTCTACTTTAAACATTTAATTCATTTCACAATCATCACATCCTACAAAAACATAGTGTTGTGTCAGAAGGAATGAGTTTGCTCTGAAGAGGAACAGGAACTACTTCTGGGTTTGACTGAAGGTTAAACACAGATAAGATCGCATCAGTCAAAAAAAAACATGAACATTCAGCCTTGTTGCTGTTGTGCATGTTTGATTGTTTTTTTCTCTGTTAAGCATCGTTTCTTCTTTGGTGTAAAGTGCAGGTGATGCCAACAGATTTGCCCGAAACACGCTTTGTTGGAATAAATGAAACTAAATACACAGTGATGCAGGAGCTGCAGTCCTGTATTGTGAATCAAAGCCTATCATCAGTGTCTACTGTCTGCAGAGCGAGTTGTTGTAGCAGTAGGATCCTCTGCCAGCTGAAGTTCCTGTCCTGGTGTTAAAAGAGAGATCAGCTACTGATAATCTGCTGTGTGTTGGTCCTGGAGAACTACTGCACAGGACGGATCTTCATGATGATGAAGCAGATCTGAGGTCTGTGAGGGAGTGATGATGGACAGGTGACCAGCTGCACCTTTAAACTGTGAGTTAAAACAACACTCACATGTCCTCATGTACATAAGTAAAGTTTTAATAATAATAATAATAATAATAATAATAATCTTATTTGTAGAGCACTTTTCAAAAACAAGTTACAAAGTGCTTTAACAAGTGTAAAGACAATAATACAAAAACAATCAAGATAAAAGAATGAAAACATTGAAAAGACTAAAATACACGTTTAAGATAAATATAAAATTAGTAAAATAGAATAAAATAAAAGGGATAAAATAAAGTCAAAAAGATCGGGAAAGGCTCTCCTATAAAAGTATGTTTTAAGAAGGGACTTAAAAGAGTTCACTGACTCAGCCGACCTGATTTCCTCGGGCAGGCTGTTCCAGAGCCTCGGGGCCCTGACAGCAAACGCTCTGTCCCCTTTAGTTTTCAGTCGAGACTCTGGAACAGACAACAGACCTCTGCCCGAGGATCTCAAGGTACGTGCTGGTGCGTATGGGACTAAAAGGTCAGAAATATAACAAGGCGAGAGGCCATGAAGAGCTTTAAAAGTGATCAATAGAATTTTAAAGTAATTCTAAAACATACTGGGAGCCAGTGTAATGAAGCTAAAATAGGAGTAATGTGGTCATATTTCTTTGTTCTGGTTAAAAGCCTGGCAGCTGAGTTCTGGACAGTCTGGAGTCGATCAATAGATTTTTGGGTTAACAGGTGAAAAGGCTGTTGCAATAATCCAGGCGTGATGAGATGAAGGCGTGTAAAATGGTCTGGTGTCCTTAAAAGTTAACATAGATCGAATTTTTGCTATATTTCTAAGTTGATAAAAACATGATTGAACAAGCTTTGTGGTGTGCTGCTCGAAATTTAAATTACTATCAAACCAAACACCAAGGTTCTTTGCCACAGGCTTAATGTGATTTACTAGGGACCAGCAGATGGCAGTATTTGATTTGCCATCTGCTGGGACCCGATGACCAGGATTTCTGTTTTGTCTGAGTTCAGCTGGAGGAAATTATTTGACATCCATTTTTTAACTTCACAAAGGCAGTTGTTAAGTGAACTCAGCATTCCAGGGTCTGTGGATCTGACGGGCAAGTATTTGTGTGTCATCAGCATAAATATGAAAAGAAATGCCATGTTTATGGATAATATGTCCAAGGGGAAGCAGATACAAGGAAAACAAAATGGGTCCTAAGACCGACCCCTGAGGCACACCATATTTAACTGGACAGAAAAGAGACATAGTTGTTTACAGACACGCAAAACTTCCTTGACAGGTAGGATGAAAACCATTCTAGGGCAGTACCAGAGATCCCCACCCAGTGCCTCAGTCTGTCTAACATGATGTTGTGATCAATGGTGTCAAAAGCAGCGCTAAGGTCCAGGAGTACCAGGACTGAGCACATCCTTCATCAGCAGACATTAAAAGGTCATTGGTGACTTTAAGCAGGGCAGTCTCAGTGCTGTGGTACTTCCTAAAACCAGACTGAAACTTTTCAAAATTTGTTATTTTCCAGTACAGTGAGCAGCTGTTTGGACACAATTCTTTCTAGAATCTTTGCAATAAAAGGCAGTTTTGAAATTGGTCTAAAATTATGTGGGAGGGAGGGATCTAAACCAGGTTTCTTTAAAAGTGGGTTCACGCAAGCCGTTTTAAAATAATCAGGGACACAACCAGTAGATAGGGAGCTGTTGAAAACAGAGATCAAATGGGGCCCAACAGAATCTATTACTTTCAGTAAAAACTTTGTAGGTATTACATCAAGTGGGCTGGAGGACACTCTCATTTGTGATACTGTTTTTAAAAGCTCAGACAAGTCGATGGGATAAAACTGGTTAAAACTCTCTTGTTGCTGGTGAGGAACCTCTGAGTAAGAGGCCGCGGGGGTAATAGAGGCTCTGATTGACACCACCTTATTGGTAAAATAAGATAAAAACAATTCACAGTCATCTTACTTCCAGCTGAGGCACAAGGAGGGGTTGGGTTTACCAGCTGATCCACAGTCTTAAACAGAAACCTGGGATTGTGTTTATGTGTAGTAATGAGTTCAGAAAAATAGTGTGTTCTCGCATCCTTAACCATGTTATTGTAGTTAATTAATAAATCCTTCAGACTGAGGTAATGGACTTGGAGACTGGATTTTTTCCATCTGCGCTCTGCTTTCCTGCATTCCCTTTTTAGGCTGCGAATGCTGTCATTTATCCAGGGTTGCTTACTAGCTTTAGACGTAGGCCTAACCTTTAGAGGAGCAGTAATATTTAGTGACGACAAGCAGATATGATTGAAGTGATCGACCAGATTGTTGGTGTTGGAATCAGACAGGTGTTGGCTTTGGCTCTGAAAGAATGCGCAAAACTTTGAAACACTTTGTTCATTAAAGATGCGAGAACACACGGAGCTTGGTGAGGCGGCATGAGTAACAGGCGAATGCAGCTAAAAACAATACATCTGTGGTCAGATATGGTCATGTCCACTAATTCCACAGAGGAAATGCTGACACCCAGGGTAAAAACCAAGTCCAGTGTATGACCACGGTTATGTGTTTGCCCTTTGACATGTTGTTTGAAGTTAAAAGAAGTGGCCATATTTAAAAAGTCAGTTGCATTAACATTGGTGGGGTCATCAACATGAATATTAAAATCGCCACAAAGAACAATTCTGTCATAATTTAAAACCAGAGTAGATAAAAATTCAGGAAGTTCTGATAAAAATCCTCCAGGCGGTTTTGGGGGCGATAAATTATAACAAATATGATAGGTTACAGCCCTCCAAGTTTAAGAGTAACTTCAAAGGAGTTAAATTCATCATAGCGTTCTTGATGACATTTTAAATATTTCCTATACACGCTCACTAGCCCACCACCACGACCACTGACCCTCTTTGACTTTTGACTAAAACAATCATATTGAGGCGGACACAGTTCAGCTAGCTGGCTATAGTCATTCATCTGCAACCAGGATTCAGTTAAAAACATAAAATCTAGATTTGCAGACAAAATAAAATCATTTAAGATAAAAGTCTTAATTTAAGGTACTTGTACTTCAGTGTTTCCATGTCATGCTTTGTTGCAGTACTTCTCAGAGGGAAATATTGGACTCCAAATGGTTATTTTAAGTATTATTACAGATTGAGCTGTCCAGCAGCATGTAACAACCTTTACCAGCTGGAACATTAAGGTGATGAACACATGAATGAGTTAATAATTATAATCCATTTATATATATTATTCTGAAATGACCCATTCTGCATAATGAGTACTTTTACTGGTGGGAAGTAAGTATATTTGATGCTAATACAGGATGCAGGTTAACGTAGTATTTCTAGACCGTGCTATTTGAAGGGATTTTGGTTTAATTTAGAAATGTTTATACAGTCAGTGGTTCAGAACAACCAGAGACAGTTTCACCTCACAGTCATTTCATCCAATGTATTAAAAGCATATTTAAAAGATGAAACAAATTTGTTTTCTACTTTAAACATTTAATTCATTTCACAATCATCACATCCTACAAAAACATAGTGTTGTGTCAGAAGGAATGAGTTTGCTCTGAAGAGGAACAGGAACTACTTCTGGGTTTGACTGAAGGTTAAACACAGATAAGATCGCATCAGTCAAAAAAAAACATGAACATTCAGCCTTGTTGCTGTTGTGCATGTTTGATTGTTTTTTTCTCTGTTAAGCATCGTTTCTTCTGGTGTAAAGTGCAGGTGATGCCAACAGATTTGCCCGAAACACGCTTTGTTGGAATAAATGAAACTAAATACACAGTGATGCAGGAGCTGCAGTCCTGTATTGTGAATCAAAGCCTATCATCAGTGTCTACTGTCTGCAGAGCGAGTTGTTGTAGCAGTAGGATCCTCTGCCAGCTGAAGTTCCTGTCCTGGTGTTAAAAGAGAGATCAGCTACTGATAATCTGCTGTGTGTTGGTCCTGGAGAACTACTGCACAGGACGGATCTTCATGATGATGAAGCAGATCTGAGGTCTGTGAGGGAGTGATGATGGACAGGTGACCAGCTGCACCTTTAAACTGTGAGTTAAAACAACACTCACATGTCCTCATGTACATAAGTAAAGTTTTAATAATAATAATAATAATAATAATAATAATCTTTATTTGTAGAGCACTTTTCAAAAACAAGTTACAAAGTGCTTTAACAAGTGTAAAGACAATAATACAAAAACAATACAAGATAAAAGAATGAAAACATTGAAAAGACTAAAATACACGTTTAAGATAATATAAAATTAGTAAAATAGAATAAAATAAAAGGGATAAAATAAAGTCAAAAAGATCGGGAAAGGCTCTCCTATAAAAGTATGTTTTAAGAAGGGACTTAAAAGAGTTCACTGACTCAGCCGACCTGATTTCCTCGGGCAGGCTGTTCCAGAGCCTCGGGGCCCTGACAGCAAACGCTCTGTCCCCTTTAGTTTTCAGTCGAGACTCTGGAACAGACAACAGACCTCTGCCCGAGGATCTCAAGGTACGTGCTGGTGCGTATGGGACTAAAAGGTCAGAAATATAACAAGGCGAGAGGCCATGAAGAGCTTTAAAAGTGATCAATAGAATTTTAAAGTAATTCTAAAACATGCTGGGAGCCAGTGTAATGAAGCTAAAATAGGAGTAATGTGGTCATATTTCTTTGTTCTGGTTAAAAGCCTGGCAGCTGAGTTCTGGACAGTCTGGAGTCGATCAATAGATTTTTGGGTTAAGCAGGTGAAAAGGCTGTTGCAATAATCCAGGCGTGATGAGATGAAGGCGTGTAAAATGGTCTTGGTGTCCTTAAAAGTTAACATAGATCGAATTTTTGCTATATTTCTAAGTTGATAAAAACATGATTGAACAAGCTTTGTGGTGTGCTGCTCGAAATTTAAATTACTATCAAACCAAACACCAAGGTTCTTTGCCACAGGCTTAATGTGATTTACTAGGGACCAGCAGATGGCAGTATTTGATTTGCCATCTGCTGGGACCCGATGACCAGGATTTCTGTTTTGTCTGAGTTCAGTGGAGGAAATTATTTGACATCCATTTTTTAACTTCACAAAGGCAGTTGTTAAGTGAACTCAGCATTCCAGGGTCTGTGGATCTGACGGGCAAGTAGGTTTGTGTGTCATCAGCATAAATATGAAAAGAAATACCATGTTTATGGATAATATGTCCAAGGGGAAGCAGATACAAGGAAAACAAAATGGGTCCAAAGACCGACCCCTGAGGCACACCATATTTAACTGGACAGAACAAAGAGACATAGTTGTTTACAGACACGCAAAACTTCCTGTTTGACAGGTAGGATGAAAACCATTCTAGGGCAGAACCAGAGATCCCCACCCAGTGCCTCAGTCTGTCTAACATGATGTTGTGATCAATGGTGTCAAAAGCAGCGCTAAGGTCCAGGAGTACCAGGACTGAGCACATTCCTTCATCAGCAGACATTAAAAGGTCATTGGTGACTTTAAGCAGGGCAGTCTCAGTGCTGTGGTACTTCCTAAAACCAGACTGAAACTTATCAAATAATTTGTATTTTCCAGTACAGTGAGCAGCTGTTTGGACACAATTCTTTCTAGAATCTTTGCAATAAAAGGCAGTTTTGAAATTGGTCTAAAATTATGTGGGAGGGAGGGATCTAAACCAGGTTTCTTTAAAAGTGGGTTCACGCAAGCCGTTTTAAAATAATCATGGACACAACCAGTAGATAGGGAGCTGTTGAAAACAGAGATCAAATGGGGCCCAACAGAATCTATTACTTTCAGTAAAAACTTTGTAGGTATTACATCAAGTGGGCTGGAGGACACTCTCATTTGTGATACTGTTTTTAAAAGCTCAGACAAGTCGATGGGATAAAACTGGTTAAAACTCTCTTGTTGCTGGTGAGGAACCTCTGAGTAAGAGGCCGCGGGGGTAATAGAGGCTCTGATTGACACCACCTTATTGGTAAAATAAGATAAAAACAATTCACAGTCATCCTTACTTCCAGCTGAGGCACAAGGAGGGGTTGGGTTTACCAGCTGATCCACAGTCTTAAACAGAAACCTGGGATTGTGTTTATGTGTAGTAATGAGTTCAGAAAAATAGTGTGTTCTCGCATCCTTAACCATGTTATTGTAGTTAATTAATAAATCCTTCAGACTGAGGTAATGGACTTGGAGACTGGACTTTTTCCATCTGCGCTCTGCTTTCCTGCATTCCCTTTTTAGGCTGCGAATGCTGTCATTTATCCAGGGTTGCTTACTAGCTTTAGACGTAGGCCTAACCTTTAGAGGAGCAGTAATATTTAGTGACGACAAGCAGATATGATTGAAGTGATCGACCAGATTGTTGGTGTTGGAATCAGACAGGTGTTGGCTTTGGCTCTGAAAGAATGCGCAAAACTTTGAAACACTGTTCATTAAAGATGCGAGAACACACGGAGCTTGGTGAGGCGGCATGAGTAACAGGCGAATTGCAGCTAAAAACTATACATCTGTGGTCAGATATGGTCATGTCCACTAATTCCACAGAGGAAATACTGACACCCAGGGTAAAAACCAAGTCCAGTGTATGACCACGGTTATGTGTTTGCCCTTTGACATGTTGTTTGAAGTTAAAAGAAGTGGCCATATTTAAAAAGTCAGTTGCATTAACATTGGTGGGGTCATCAACATGAATATTAAAATCGCCACAAAGAACAATTCTGTCATAATTTAAAACCAGAGTAGATAAAAATTCAGGAAGTTCTGATAAAAATCCTCCAGGCGGTTTTGGGGAGCGATAAATCATAACAAATATGATGATAGGTTACAGCCCTCCAAGTTTAAGAGCTTAACTTCAAAGGAGTTAAATTCATCATAGCGTTCTTGATGACATTTTAAATATTTCCTATACACGCTCACTAGCCCACCACCACGACCACTGACCCTCTTTTGACTTTTGACTAAAACAATCATATTGAGGCGGACACAGTTCAGCTAGCTGGCTATAGTCATTCATCTGCAACCAGGATTCAGTTAAAAACATAAAATCTAGATTTGCAGACAAAATAAAATCATTTAAGATAAAAGTCTTAATTTAAGGTACTTGTACTTCAGTGTTTCCATGTCATGCTTTGTTGCAGTACTTCTCAGAGGGAAATATTGGACTCCAAATGGTTATTTTAAGTATTATTACAGATTGAGCTGTCCAGCAGCATGTAACAACCTTTACCAGCTGGAACATTAAGGTGATGAACACATGAATGAGTTAATAATTATAATCCATTTATATATATTATTCTGAAATGACCCATTCTGCATAATGAGTACTTTTACTGGTGGGAAGTAAGTATATTTTGATGCTAATACAGGATGCAGGTTAACGTAGTATTTCTAGACCGTGCTATTTGAAGGGATTTTGGTTTAATTTAGAAATGTTTATACAGTCAGTGGTTCAGAACAACCAGAGACAGTTTCACCTCACAGTCATTTCATCCAATGTATTAAAAGCATATTTAAAAGATGAAACAAATTTGTTTTCTACTTTAAACATTTAATTCATTTCACAATCATCACATCCTACAAAAACATAGTGTTGTGTCAGAAGGAATGAGTTTGCTCTGAAGAGGAACAGGAACTACTTCTGGGTTTGACTGAAGGTTAAACACAGATAAGATCGCATCAGTCAAAAAAAACATGAACATTCAGCCTTGTTGCTGTTGTGCATGTTTGATTGTTTTTTTCTCTGTTAAGCATCGTTTCTTCTTCTGGTGTAAAGTGCAGGTGATGCCAACAGATTTGCCCGAAACACGCTTTGTTGGAATAAATGAAACTAAATACACAGTGATGCAGGAGCTGCAGTCCTGTATTGTGAATCAAAGCCTATCATCAGTGTCTACTGTCTGCAGAGCGAGTTGTTGTAGCAGTAGGATCCTCTGCCAGCTGAAGTTCCTGTCCTGGTGTTAAAAGAGAGATCAGCTACTGATAATCTGCTGTGTGTTGGTCCTGGAGAACTACTGCACAGGACGGATCTTCATGATGATGAAGCAGATCTGAGGTCTGTGAGGGAGTGATGATGGACAGGTGACCAGCTGCACCTTTAAACTGTGAGTTAAAACAACACTCACATGTCCTCATGTACATAAGTAAAGTTTTAATAATAATAATAATATAATAATAATAATAATAATCTTTATTTGTAGAGCACTTTTCAAAAACAAGTTACAAAGTGCTTTAACAAGTGTAAAGACAATAATACAAAAACAATACAAGATAAAAGAATGAAAACATTGAAAAGACTAAAATACACGTTTAAGATAAATATAAAATTAGTAAAATAGAATAAAATAAAAGGGATAAAATAAAGTCAAAAAGATCGGGAAAGGCTCTCCTATAAAAGTATGTTTTAAGAAGGGACTTAAAAGAGTTCACTGACTCAGCCGACCTGATTTCCTCGGGCAGGCTGTTCCAGAGCCTCGGGGCCCTGACAGCAAACGCTCTGTCCCCTTTAGTTTTCAGTCGAGACTCTGGAACAGACAACAGACCTCTGCCCGAGGATCTCAAGGTACGTGCTGGTGCGTATGGGACTAAAAGGTCAGAAATATAACAAGGCGAGAGGCCATGAAGAGCTTTAAAAGTGATCAATAGAATTTTAAAGTCAATTCTAAAACATACTGGGAGCCAGTGTAATGAAGCTAAAATAGGAGTAATGTGGTCATATTTCTTTGTTCTGGTTAAAAGCCTGGCAGCTGAGTTCTGGACAGTCTGGAGTCGATCAATAGATTTTTGGGTTAAACAGGTGAAAAGGCTGTTGCAATAATCCAGGCGTGATGAGATGAAGGCGTGTAAAATGGTCTCGGTGTCCTTAAAAGTTAACATAGATCGAATTTTTGCTATATTTCTAAGTTGATAAAAACATGATTGAACAAGCTTTGTGGTGTGCTGCTCGAAATTTAAATTACTATCAAACCAAACACCAAGGTTCTTTGCCACAGGCTTAATGTGATTTACTAGGGAACCAGCAGATGGCAGTATTTGATTTGCCATCTGCTGGGACCCGATGACCAGGATTTCTGTTTTGTCTGAGTTCAGCTGGAGGAAATTATTTGACATCCATTTTTTAACTTCACAAAGGCAGTTGTTAAGTGAACTCAGCATTCCAGGGTCTGTGGATCTGACGGGCAAGTATTTGTGTGTCATCAGCATAAATATGAAAAGAAATGCCATGTTTATGGATAATATGTCCAAGGGGAAGCAGATACAAGGAAAACAAAATGGGTCCTAAGACCGACCCCTGAGGCACACCATATTTAACTGGACAGAACAAGAGACATAGTTGTTTACAGACACGCAAAACTTCCTATTTGACAGGTAGGATGAAAACCATTCTAGGGCAGTACCAGAGATCCCCACCCAGTGCCTCAGTCTGTCTAACATGATGTTGTGATCAATGGTGTCAAAAGCAGCGCTAAGGTCCAGGAGTACCAGGACTGAGCACATCCTTCATCAGCAGACATTAAAAGGTCATTGGTGACTTTAAGCAGGGCCGTCTCAGTGCTGTGGTACTTCCTGAAACCAGACTGAAACTTTCAAATAATTTGTTATTTTCCAGTACAGTGAGCAGCTGTTTGGACACAATTCTTTCTAGAATCTTTGCAACAAAAGGCAGCTTTGAAATTGGTCTAAAATTATGTGGGAGGGAGGGATCTAAACCAGGTTTCTTTAAAAGTGGGTTCACGCAAGCCGTTTTAAAATAATCAGGGACACAACCAGTAGATAGGGAGCTGTTGAAAACAGAGATCAAATGGGGCCCAACAGAATCTATTACTTTCAGTAAAAACTTTGTAGGTATTACATCAAGTGGGCTGGAGGACACTCTCATTTGTGATACTGTTTTTAAAAGCTCAGACAAGTCGATGGGATAAAACTGGTTAAAACTCTCTTGTTGCTGGTGAGGAACCTCTGAGTAAGAGGCCGCGGGGGTAATAGAGGCTCTGATTGACACCACCTTATTGGTAAAATAAGATAAAAACAATTCACAGTCATCATTACTTCCAGCTGAGGCACAAGGAGGGGTTGGGTTTACCAGCTGATCCACAGTCTTAAACAGAAACCTGGGATTGTGTTTATGTGTAGTAATGAGTTCAGAAAAATAATGTGTTCTCGCATCCTTAACCAAGTTATTGTAGTTAATTAATAAATCCTTCAGAGTGAGGTAATGGACTTGGAGACTGGATTTTTCCATCTGCGCTCTGCTTTCCTGCATTCCCTTTTTAGGCTGCGAATGCTGTCATTTATCCAGGGTTGCTTACTAGCTTTAGACGTAGGCCTAACCTTTAGAGGAGCAGTAATATTTAGTGACGACAAGCAGATATGATTGAAGTGATCGACCAGATTGTTGGTGTTGGAATCAGACAGGTGTTGGCTTTGGCTCTGAAAGAATGCGCAAAACTTTGAAACACTGTTCATTAAAGATGCGAGAACACACGGAGCTTGGTGAGGCGGCATGAGTAACAGGCGAATTGCAGCTAAAAACTATACATCTGTGGTCAGATATGGTCATGTCCACTAATTCCACAGAGGAAATACTGACACCCAGGGTAAAAACCAAGTCCAGTGTATGACCACGGTTATGTGTTTGCCCTTTGACATGTTGTTTGAAGTTAAAAGAAGTGGCCATATTTAAAAAGTCAGTTGCATTAACATTGGTGGGGTCATCAACATGAATATTAAAATCGCCACAAAGAACAATTCTGTCATAATTTAAAACCAGAGTAGATAAAAATTCAGGAAGTTCTGATAAAAATCCTCCAGGCGGTTTTGGGGAGCGATAAATCATAACAAATATGATGATAGGTTACAGCCCTCCAAGTTTAAGAGCTTAACTTCAAAGGAGTTAAATTCATCATAGCGTTCTTGATGACATTTTAAATATTTCCTATACACGCTCACTAGCCCACCACCACGACCACTGACCCTCTTTTGACTTTTGACTAAAACAATCATATTGAGGCGGACACAGTTCAGCTAGCTGGCTATAGTCATTCATCTGCAACCAGGATTCAGTTAAAAACATAAAATCTAGATTTGCAGACAAAATAAAATCATTTAAGATAAAAGTCTTAATTTAAGGTACTTGTACTTCAGTGTTTCCATGTCATGCTTTGTTGCAGTACTTCTCAGAGGGAAATATTGGACTCCAAATGGTTATTTTAAGTATTATTACAGATTGAGCTGTCCAGCAGCATGTAACAACCTTTACCAGCTGGAACATTAAGGTGATGAACACATGAATGAGTTAATAATTATAATCCATTTATATATATTATTCTGAAATGACCCATTCTGCATAATGAGTACTTTTACTGGTGGGAAGTAAGTATATTTTGATGCTAATACAGGATGCAGGTTAACGTAGTATTTCTAGACCGTGCTATTTGAAGGGATTTTGGTTTAATTTAGAAATGTTTATACAGTCAGTGGTTCAGAACAACCAGAGACAGTTTCACCTCACAGTCATTTCATCCAATGTATTAAAAGCATATTTAAAAGATGAAACAAATTTGTTTTCTACTTTAAACATTTAATTCATTTCACAATCATCACATCCTACAAAAACATAGTGTTGTGTCAGAAGGAATGAGTTTGCTCTGAAGAGGAACAGGAACTACTTCTGGGTTTGACTGAAGGTTAAACACAGATAAGATCGCATCAGTCAAAAAAAAACATGAACATTCAGCCTTGTTGCTGTTGTGCATGTTTGATTGTTTTTTTCTCTGTTAAGCATCGTTTCTTCTTCTGGTGTAAAGTGCAGGTGATGCCAACAGATTTGCCCGAAACACGCTTTGTTGGAATAAATGAAACTAAATACACAGTGATGCAGGAGCTGCAGTCCTGTATTGTGAATCAAAGCCTATCATCAGTGTCTACTGTCTGCAGAGCGAGTTGTTGTAGCAGTAGGATCCTCTGCCAGCTGAAGTTCCTGTCCTGGTGTTAAAAGAGAGATCAGCTACTGATAATCTGCTGTGTGTTGGTCCTGGAGAACTACTGCACAGGACGGATCTTCATGATGATGAAGCAGATCTGAGGTCTGTGAGGGAGTGATGATGGACAGGTGACCAGCTGCACCTTTAAACTGTGAGTTAAAACAACACTCACATGTCCACATGTACATAAGTAAAGTTTTAATAATAATAATAATAATAATAATAATAATCTTTATTTGTAGAGCACTTTTCAAAAACAAGTTACAAAGTGCTTTAACAAGTGTAAAGACAATAATACAAAAACAATACAAGATAAAAGAATGAAAACATTGAAAAGACTAAAATACACGTTTAAGATAAATATAAAATTAGTAAAATAGAATAAAATAAAAGGGATAAAATAAAGTCAAATAAGATCGGGAAAGGCTCTCCTATAAAAGTATGTTTTAAGAAGGGACTTAAAAGAGTTCACTGACTCAGCCGACCTGATTTCCTCGGGCAGGCTGTTCCAGAGCCTCGGGGCCCTGACAGCAAACGCTCTGTCCCCTTTAGTTTTCAGTCGAGACTCTGGAACAGACAACAGACCTCTGCCCGAGGATCTCAAGGTACGTGCTGGTGCGTATGGGACTAAAAGGTCAGAAATATAACAAGGCGAGAGGCCATGAAGAGCTTTAAAAGTGATCAATAGAATTTTAAAGTTAATTCTAAAACATGCTGGGAGCCAGTGTAATGAAGCTAAAATAGGAGTAATGTGGTCATATTTCTTTGTTCTGGTTAAAAGCCTGGCAGCTGAGTTCTGGACAGTCTGGAGTCGATCAATAGATTTTTGGGTTAAGCAGGTGAAAAGGCTGTTGCAATAATCCAGGCGTGATGAGATGAAGGCGTGTAAAATGGTCTTGGTGTCCTTAAAAGTTAACATAGATCGAATTTTTGCTATATTTCTAAGTTGATAAAAACATGATTGAACAAGCTTTGTGGTGTGCTGCTCGAAATTTAAATTACTATCAAACCAAACACCAAGGTTCTTTGCCACAGGCTTAATGTGATTTACTAGGGAACCAGCAGATGGCAGTATTTGATTTGCCATCTGCTGGGACCCGATGACCAGGATTTCTGTTTTGTCTGAGTTCAGTGGAGGAAATTATTTGACATCCATTTTTTAACTTCACAAAGGCAGTTGTTAAGTGAACTCAGCATTCCAGGGTCTGTGGATCTGACGGGCAAGTATTTGTGTGTCATCAGCATAAATATGAAAAGAAATACCATGTTTATGGATAATATGTCCAAGGGGAAGCAGATACAAGGAAAACAAAATGGGTCCAAGACCGACCCCTGAGGCACACCATATTTAACTGGACAGAAAAGAGACATAGTTGTTTACAGACACGCAAAACTTCCTATTTGACAGGTAGGATGAAAACCATTCTAGGGCAGTACCAGAGATCCCCACCCAGTGCCTCAGTCTGTCTAACATGATGTTGTGATCAATGGTGTCAAAAGCAGCGCTAAGGTCCAGGAGTACCAGGACTGAGCACATTCCTTCATCAGCAGACATTAAAAGGTCATTGGTGACTTTAAGCAGGGCCGTCTCAGTGCTGTGGTACTTCCTGAAACCAGACTGAAACTTTCAAATAATTTGTATTTTCCAGTACAGTGAGCAGCTGTTTGGACACAATTCTTTCTAGAATCTTTGCAATAAAAGGCAGTTTTGAAATTGGTCTAAAATTATGTGGGAGGGAGGGATCTAAACCAGGTTTCTTTAAAAGTGGGTTCACGCAAGCCGTTTTAAAATAATCAGGGACACAACCAGTAGATAGGGAGCTGTTGAAAACAGAGATCAAATGGGGCCCAACAGAATCTATTACTTTCAGTAAAAACTTTGTAGGTATTACATCAAGTGGGCTGGAGGACACTCTCATTTGTGATACTGTTTTTAAAAGCTCAGACAAGTCGATGGGATAAAACTGGTTAAAACTCTCTTGTTGCTGGTGAGGAACCTCTGAGTAAGAGGCCGCGGGGGTAATAGAGGCTCTGATTGACACCACCTTATTGGTAAAATAAGATAAAAACAATTCACAGTCATCTTACTTCCAGCTGAGGCACAAGGAGGGGTTGGGTTTACCAGCTGATCCACAGTCTTAAACAGAAACCTGGGATTGTGTTTATGTGTAGTAATGAGTTCAGAAAATAGTGTGTTCTCGCATCCTTAACCATGTTATTGTAGTTAATTAATAAATCCTTCAGAGTGAGGTAATGGACTTGGAGACTGGATTTTTCCATCTGCGCTCTGCTTTCCTGCATTCCCTTTTTAGGCTGCGAATGCTGTCATTTATCCAGGGTTGCTTACTAGCTTTAGACGTAGGCCTAACCTTTAGAGGAGCAGTAATATTTAGTGACGACAAGCAGATATGATTGAAGTGATCGACCAGATTGTTGGTGTTGGAATCAGACAGGTGTTGGCTTTGGCTCTGAAAGAATGCGCAAAACTTTGAAACACTGTTCATTAAAGATGCGAGAACACACGGAGCTTGGTGAGGCGGCATGAGTAACAGGCGAATTGCAGCTAAAAACTATACATCTGTGGTCAGATATGGTCATGTCCACTAATTCCACAGAGGAAATACTGACACCCAGGGTAAAAACCAAGTCCAGTGTATGACCACGGTTATGTGTTTGCCCTTTGACATGTTGTTTGAAGTTAAAAGAAGTGGCCATATTTAAAAAGTCAGTTGCATTAACATTGGTGGGGTCATCAACATGAATATTAAAATCGCCACAAAGAACAATTCTGTCATAATTTAAAACCAGAGTAGATAAAAATTCAGGAAGTTCTGATAAAAATCCTCCAGGCGGTTTTGGGGAGCGATAAATCATAACAAATATGATGATAGGTTACAGCCCTCCAAGTTTAAGAGCTTAACTTCAAAGGAGTTAAATTCATCATAGCGTTCTTGATGACATTTTAAATATTTCCTATACACGCTCACTAGCCCACCACCACGACCACTGACCCTCTTTTGACTTTGACTAAAACAATCATATTGAGGCGGACACAGTTCAGCTAGCTGGCTATAGTCATTCATCTGCAACCAGGATTCAGTTAAAAACATAAAATCTAGATTTGCAGACAAAATAAAATCATTTAAGATAAAAGTCTTAATTTAAGGTACTTGTACTTCAGTGTTTCCATGTCATGCTTTGTTGCAGTACTTCTCAGAGGGAAATATTGGACTCCAAATGGTTATTTTAAGTATTATTACAGATTGAGCTGTCCAGCAGCATGTAACAACCTTTACCAGCTGGAACATTAAGGTGATGAACACATGAATGAGTTAATAATTATAATCCATTATATATATTATTCTGAAATGACCCATTCTGCATAATGAGTACTTTTACTGGTGGGAAGTAAGTATATTTTGATGCTAATACAGGATGCAGGTTAACGTAGTATTTCTAGACCGTGCTATTTGAAGGGATTTTGGTTTAATTTAGAAATGTTTATACAGTCAGTGGTTCAGAACAACCAGAGACAGTTTCACCTCACAGTCATTTCATCCAATGTATTAAAAGCATATTTAAAAGATGAAACAAATTTGTTTTCTACTTTAAACATTTAATTCATTTCACAATCATCACATCCTACAAAAACATAGTGTTGTGTCAGAAGGAATGAGTTTGCTCTGAAGAGGAACAGGAACTACTTCTGGGTTTGACTGAAGGTTAAACACAGATAAGATCGCATCAGTCATAAAAAAACATGAACATTCAGCCTTGTTGCTGTTGTGCATGTTTGATTGTTTTTTTCTCTGTTAAGCATCGTTTCTTCTTCTGGTGTAAAGTGCAGGTGATGCCAACAGATTTGCCCGAAACACGCTTTGTTGGAATAAATGAAACTAAATACACAGTGATGCAGGAGCTGCAGTCCTGTATTGTGAATCAAAGCCTATCATCAGTGTCTACTGTCTGCAGAGCGAGTTGTTGTAGCAGTAGGATCCTCTGCCAGCTGAAGTTCCTGTCCTGGTGTTAAAAGAGAGATCAGCTGCTGATAATCTGCTGTGTGTTGGTCCTGGAGAACTACTGCACAGGACGGATCTTCATGATGACGGTCTTCAGGGAGTTAAATTAAGTTAAAAAGAAAATACCCGTTCTGTGGCCAAAGCCAAAGGGCTCCTTTGATCAAACTTCAGTCGATGGAGAGACTTTTCTTCTGTTGCAGCGGTACTTTATACTTTATTATTCTGATTAGAAACACATACTATAGAACATTTATTCTTTAAACAGTCATTTCTGTATCACACATAAACAGGAGTGCAGCTCAGACATTTCTCTGCATGAAATGAAGTTGTGTATTAGGCGGACATGTTTTCTGCAGCAGTGAAGCAGATCTGAGGTCAGAGACTCTGTGAGGGAGTGATGATGGACAGGTGACCAGCTGCACCTTTAAACTGTGAGTTAAAACAACACTCACATGTCCACATGTACATAAGTAAAGTTTTAAGGTACTTGTACTTCAGTGTTAACGTAGTATTTCTAGACCGTGCTATATTAAGGGTTTAATTTAGAAATATTTATTGTATTTATTTATTTAGAAGAACATGACTCTTTCAGTTATTGTTTATTATGTGGAACTTCAGGGGTTCATCCCAACTTCGGGATGAATGAATGTATAAATGAATGAATTCTCATATGTCATGGTGTTTACTGAAGGATTTAAGGTAATAAACATACAAAACTACATCACATGTTCTTCATTTGTTTCATTTCCAGATTCAGTGTTTGTTAATGAAATTAAGGGCGATCTGCACACTTTAAGGCATATATTGTGTAAACTATTCAAAATGGACCAAATCATCCCTGAACTGAACACTGAAAAGAGCCTGATAAAAATGATAAAAATTAAAGTTATGCTTTCATGTTTCATGCTTTCATTTACAGGAGTTTTTAACCCTTAAACTGAGCAGTTAAACTATCAACACATTTACATGTTAGAATCCATTAATCAGTAAACTTTACCGCCCACGTTTATGATTTATGAGCAGCAGATAATAAACTGACAATTTAACACCGTTGTGATCATTTAAAATATATCTTCATGTTTTATATGAAGTATTAAATATATTAAGTATTATATTTATTAATGAAGTGTAATCTGTTTATAATAGAACCAGGTAGGTTTAAATTAGCTCAGAAACATTTGAGCAGATTGTAGTTATCGTCCTCATGTAGTTGATCAACATTTCATGAGTTTTTTTCTATGTATATTGTACAATTACAATCAATTACTGATCTTTACCCTGTCAGAGGCTTGATGGAGCTGCAGCACTAAAGTGAACTGTACCTTTTTGGGCCGGACAGAAGCTCCAACATCAGTGAAGACGGTGGCGCCCCCTGCCTGTACGTCACTCATCTGCAGCATGAAGGAGGAGACAGATTAACCCTTGCAGTCAGTTTGGCACATTTTCTCTCTCACAATAATCAGTGCTGTCTGAAAGTGAAGATTTATTTCTATAATAAATTCTATAAACATGAAGATTTTAGGTTCGCCTCGAAAGAAAATGTTTTTATTATAAGATGTGACGTCTCATCTCAGACGTCTGAGCAGCTTCATAATCAAATAAAAACAGGAGAGAACTGATAAAGTAGAACAAATAAATATTTACTCAGTTTTTACTGTCTCTGACTTTATGACTTAATGGGGTCAAAGGTCAACTACAGTAAGGTGAAGAGTTCACTTAGTATACGTGACTAAGTGTGACGGATCATTTTGTTCACAATGACTGAGATGTTGACTGACAGCTAGACAGACCAAACAGTGGGCGGGGCGGGCGGCGGCGTTCTGCTCATAGCTACTAAGATAAGAAACATTGTGTGCGGGTTACTGACGTAAAGCAGCCAGGTGGCGATTCTGTTTCCTGTCCCCAACTCTTCAAACACATCCGGTTCATCTTTCTGAAAGATCACAACAGTGAAATCAATCAATACTCCAACTTCATCAGAGATATTATCCTGCACCGAGTGTATTTGGTGCTGATACTTTTGTACTTTTACTAAGAACAGAGTACTTCTACACTGTAGTATTACTACTTCCTCTGAAGTAAAAGAGCTGAGTACTTCGTCTTCTCTTCTTTCTGCCAAAACTAATCAACACTTCAGAGACAAACACAGAAGCATCATTTCAGAGCCTCCTGCTGCTGAGAGGGAAACGTCCATTTACCCGTCCGAAGTCAAAGTGAGGCTCGTACTGTCCTCCCACGCCGTAGTTGGCCACCTGCGTCCACAAACACACAGAAATAACATTTAAAGAGATAAAGGAGAAACATGCAAATGAAAAGTCTGTTTGAATCTTGTGTTGATCTGGATTCTTTAATTCAATTAAATTCAAATTAGCTTTGTTGGCATGAATGTGTAAGAACAATATGGTCAAAGCATCATACAAACTACATAAGAACAATAAACATCATACATTTCATTAAACAAGTAATTAAAGCGTGTGTTAAAAAAAAATTTTTTTTTAATTTTTTTATAAATAAATCAATGAAAAGGTAACGTGTGTGTTATTATAATAATATATTAAAAATTTAAATAAATAAATAAACGAAAAGGTAACGTGTGTGTGTGTTATTATAATAATATTAGAAAATTTAATAAATAAATCAATGAAAAGGTAACGTGTGTGTTATTATAATAATATATTAGAAAATTTAATAAATAAATCAATGAAAAGGTAACGTGTGTGTGTTATTATAATAATATATTAAAAATTTAAATAAATCAATGAAAAGGTAACGTGTGTGTGTTAGTATAATAATATATAAAAATGTAAATAAATAAATCAATGAAAAGGTAACGTGTGTTTTATATAATATATAAAAAATTTAAATAAATCAATGAAAAATTTAGATTTAATAATAATAATTTTTAAAAAAAGAAATCATTATCAAATGTGAAATTTGTGTTTAGAAGCTGCAGATCTTTTGATGATTCACAGATCATCTGATTTTAAAGTTTGAACTGCCCCCCTGATCTGAACCCGAGTGGGTGTTTGTTGTTAGACTTCTGTGCTAGTCATGGATTGTCTATAACGAACACCATGTTCGACCATGTTAACAGAGCACCCTAGGCTGAAGATCAATGATCGATTTTGTAATCATTTCATCTGATTTGAGGCCGCATTTTTCGCACACTCGGGTGAAGAGAGGGGCAGAGCTGTCAACTGATCACCATCTGGTGGTGAGTTGGGTCAGGGGGTGGGGGAAGACTCTGGACAGATCTGGTAAGCCCAAACGAGTAGTGCGGGTGAACTGGGAACGTCTGGAGGAGGCCCCTGTCTGTGAGATCTTCAACTCAAACCTCCGGCGGAGCTTTTCTGGCATCCCTGTGGAGGTTGGGGACATTGAACAGGAGTGGGCAATGTTCAAAACCTCTATTGCTGAAGCTGCAGCGGAAAGCTGTGGTCTCAAGGTTTTAGGTGCCTCAAGGGGCGGTAACCCTCGAACACCGTGGTGGACACCGGTGGTCAGGGAATTTGGGATTTGTTGTCTCGGAGGACTGTCTCGGTTGCAAGGTACCGACGGGCCCGAAGGACTGCAGCCTCTGCTGTGGCAGATGGAAAGCAGCGGGTGTGGGAGAAGTTCGGAGAAGACATGGAGAAGGACTTTCAGTCGGCACCAAAGTGTTTCTGGAGAACTGTCCGCCATCTCAGGAGGGGGAAGCGGGGAACCGTCCAAGCTGTGTACAGTAAGGATGAGACCCTGCTGACCTCAACTGGGGAGGCAATTTGGCGGTGGAAGGAACACTTTGAGGAACTCCTATATCCGACTGACACGCCCTCTTTAGTAGAGACAGAGCTCGAGGCTGATGGGGGATTCTCTTCAATTTCCCTGGAGGTAGTCAAACAACTCCACAGTGGCAAAGCCCCAGGGATTGATGAGATCCGCCCAGAAATGCTAAAAGCTTTGGGTGTGGAGGGCTGTCTTGGATGACTTGTCTCTTTAACATTGCGTGGAAGTCAGGTACAGTGCCCAAGGAGTGGCAGACTGGGGTGGTGGTTCCCCTGTTCAAAAAGGGGGACCAGAGAGTGTGTGCCAATTACAGGGGTATCACACTTCTCAGCCTCCCCGGTAAAGTCTATTCCAGGGTGCTAGAACGGAGGGTTCGGCCGATTGTCAAACCTCAGATTGAAGAGGAACAATGCGGTTTTCGTCCCGGTCGTGGAACAACTGACCAGCTCTTTACTCTCACAAGGATCCTGGAGTGGGCTTGGGAGTATGCCCATCCAGTCTACATGTGCTTTGTAGATCTGGAGAAGGCGTATGACCGGGTCCTCCGGGAGATACTGTGGGAGGTGCTGCGGGATTATGGGGTGAGGGGGGCCCTTCTCAGGGCTATCCAATCCCTGTACATCCAAAGCGAGAGCTGTGTCCGAGTACTCGCAGTAAGTCGGACTCTTTCCAGGTGAGGGGGCGGTAATGCACTCGCTTTACCGCACCGTTGTGGCGAAAAGAGAGCTGAGCCGTAAGGCAAAGCTCTCTATCTACCGGTCGATTTTCGCTCCTACCCTCACGTATAGTCATGAAGGCTGGGTCATGACCGAAAGAACGAGATCGCGGGTACAAGTGGCCGAAATGGGTTTCCTCAGGCGGGTGGCTGGTGTCTCCCTTAGAGATAGGGTGAGAAGCCCGGCCATCCGCGAGGAGCTCAGAGTAGAGCCGCTGCTCCTTCGCGTTGAAAGGAGCCAGTTGAGGTGGTTTGGGCATCTGGTAAGGATGCCTCCTGGACGCCACCCAAGGGAGTTGTTCCAGGCACATCCAGCTGGGAGGAGGCCTCAGGGAAGACCCAGGACTAGGTGGAGAGATTATATCTCCACACTGGGAACGCCTCGGGATCCCCCAGTCAGAGCTGGTTAACGCGGCTTGGGAAAGAAAAGTTTGGGGTTCCCTGCTGGAGCGGCTCCCCCCGACCCGGTCCCGGATAAGCAGATGAAGATGGATGGATGGATAGTTGCCTTTACATCCAAATGTGTCTGAGGGTGAACTGATAAACAGCAACCCATTGATGATTATCACTATTGAATGTTCATTCGTTGTAGACATTGACAACTAATTTCAAGATGTATCTGGGGTGTAGCTCAACAGGGCTGGTGATGGGGATGGCCCAATGGATAAGACGCATGCTTTGTTGTGAGAGACCCGGTTCAATCCCCCACTGTGACCCATCCACCATTTTTTTAATTTATGTGGTAGTTGTCCACAACCCAAATCAGAAATTAAGGAGAAATGTGTTTTTACAACACCTCAAGAAGACTTCATATCAGAAAGGAAGTTATTTCAATGTACAACTGCAGTATTTCAATCAAAATCGATACAGTAAAAAAGAGTTATCCTGAACGCAAAATGTGATAGAGTCATTTTCAGGAATATTTTCATGTTTTTCCAGGAACCACAATTAAAGAATGAAGTATTTTCCCTAAAGGTTTTCACTTTTAATAAACACATGTAACATATTTTATACTTCTATACCCTATCTGACAACACTGTAGGTCAGAGGGTCCACTCAACTTCCTTCAGTGAACTTCCTTCTGTTCACTGAAGGAAGCCATCTCTTGGTGAAGAGCAAGGCTTGTTGATGTGTGAGGTTAGACTCGACCTCTGTCGTTGTGACTGATCCACCAATAGGCAAGAAGTTGACCCCTTGAGCCACAGCCCCTCCTCATTTGCATAATGAGGCAGAAATGCATAGAGAAATGTAAAAGGGAGACAGGAATAAATACCATTGAGGAAATAAATAGGGTAGAAATGCAAAGGAAGAATAATATTCTTCTAATGAAGAAAAAAAATATTAAATCATACACATAAACAAATACATTTAAAAAAGTAATTAATTAGTAAAGTAATTAAAGTAATTAATAAATAAAGTTGAAGATTATAACAGACAACAAATAAATAAGATTAATACAAAGCTGAATAAATAAAGAAGCAAATTAAAATAGATATATTTATTTATATCTCACTGTATAATTAATTACTGCCTACATTTTTTATTTACTGTATTTTCTTTGCATTTAATCAGAGGTTATTTATTTATTGAGCATTTATTTATTTCTGTATTTATTTCTGAATCTGACAGCTAAAGACTGCTGGGAGGCTTGTAGGTGTCAGAACTACAAGTCAGCCACAAGATGGACAAATACCGTGTGTTGAAATGATGCTCTATAACAAATTTTGGTAGCACTTTATAATAACTACACACTATAAAGCATTATTTAAGTATAGTAAAACGGAATTCATCATTTAAAAGCATTGTTCATACATTAATAACATTAGTAAGTCATTCATAAACACAGTTATAGATAGAAGTAGATATAAATAGAAAACTAAATAGATCATTATAACATTATATCAATAAATAAAATAAAACAAAGCTATGTAATTCTACTGAAAACTCAAACTTACAGCACCAGCAGTTCACATACAGTACCCACAACTAGCAACTAACTAACTAACTAACTAACATGAACTGAGCAACTG